TCATCAAAATCATCGACTTGAGCTACAAATCTTCTCCACCATCGCAATATACTTACACATTTGAGTAAGTAATTTTTTTTCTTATTGAAATTTCATACAATTTAACATATGTAGCCCCCAAATGCCTTGGTACGGCCGAGAGTCGGGAAAGTCCGCTCTCCCTCTCCAAATGCTCTCACATGGCCACGTGAATATATAGCCTCTGTCAGGGAAGTCCTACTCACTGCCTTCTCATGGCATTACTGTTGTTTACGAAAATTGATAGGACGAAAAGCGAATGTCCGGCGCATTAGCCGGGTTGGTGGACACAGAAAGTTCACAAAAATCCTTCAAAAAGATTTCAATTCTTACAAGGAAAGGCAAACAGCTGAAGCCCTATACATTTGGGCTAATCCAAACAATATTAATAAGAGGGATGGAATACAATTAGCAGTACCATGGCAGCTAATCATTAATAAGTAAAAACCTGAACTCCTTAACGTTTTTTTTTACCTATTTCCTATTATCTAAATTCACAACAATTGCATTCAATGATTCTAATCAGTTATAGAAATTTGTTAAACAATTCACTGGAACATTTAAAAAATGACACATACATACAGTTTTTAAAAATTACACTCTTCAAATTTCACTCTTTTATTATTTTTGTTTTAATTATCTTCATTTTATATATGCTGTGACACAGATATGATTCATATCATATATTACAAACCCCTTCTGATAATGATCATGTGCTCACTAGTGACTGACTCCATGAGGTATTTCCTGGAGTTCTAGTGAGAAGCAGTAACCGGTGGAGTTCAACCAGGTCTGTCGTGAGATATCAACTCACTGATGACATTGGTGAATGGTTGCTCAATTTTGTGGATCAGGTGAAGTTAGACATTAACACTGTTGGATACCGGCCAGCTCAGTGGTCTATCAGTTAAGGGCTCTAGCTCGAGACTGGTAGGTTCTGGGTTCGAATTTCGCTTGTGAGACGGGATCGTAAATGCACACTGGTGAGGATTCCCATAATAGGACGAAACGTCCGTCCAGTGTTTCCAGGTTTTCCATTGTGGTCTAGCTTCAATTGACTCATGATCTCAACTCTATAAAATTCACTGGAACATTAAAAAATGACACATACATACGGTTTTTAAAAATTTACACTCTTCAAATTTCACTCTTTTATTTTTGTTTTAATTATCTTCATTTTATACATGCTGTGACACAGATATGATTCATATCACATATATTACATATTGTATGTTTTCCTTATAAATTCATTGATAAGAGACAATATATAGTGTGAATGTAATTTCTCCTTTCACCTCTAACGTTTTTCTATACAATATGTTATATTAACACACTTATCATTTCACATCACACATCTCTTACACACTAATACACATACTTAGTTTAGACTTTTTGTTAACGTTGATTGGATGACCTATTCAGTATACAATGAACCCGGAGAACCATGTACCTAGTTGTATTCGATAATTTTAATGTTTTTGATTATAATTCCTTGAAAAAGCTTAGACCGGATTGTCAAGCGAAACGTTGGATTTACTAAAAAATTCATACTCTGAGATTTTACAAATATATATTATTCCTATTTATTAATGTCTTACATAAACTCGGCGCTCAAATACTGTGAAACTCTATTCGCTCTAATTTAGACGAGAGTTCTTATATTGGTCAGATAGTTATCCAATTGACAGATTGAAGATAAGTGAAAAAAACAAAGGTCATAATAACAGGCTGAATAATAATCAAGAAAACTGATTACAGTTTAAAATGCAAAACAAAAACTCGATAATAATCAAATAAAAGTGTAGAAAGAAAAAGACAAAACAACACCAGCAACCAGAAACCTACTCATTAAGGAATCGGATCAAAGGGGGGGGTCGAATCAATATTTTTTGCACTGCTGAGGCATTGACACTCCACGAACTCAATTTCGAAATTCGCATTCAAAAACAATTCGTTCAACCTCTCATCCTTCCTTGGCCTTAATTCCCTTTGTTGGTATGTTTTGGTTTTTTTTTCTTCATTTTTATTTGATTATTATTGATTTTTGAAATTATTGTTTCGTATTGTATCGGTAAATAAATCCCCAAAATAAATAGTTCTGTAAGCCTTCGACATTGGATGCTGACTGCATTAGTTTTAATGGACTTATTTAGCTGAAGGCGCTCAGTCATGCATGCGCACCAGATCACGAGTAGAAACGCAGTGCTTAACATCCCCTGCAATCGCTAGCCAGATTAGATCAGTCGGTACACGAGATATTGATAACCTATCACATTATTCTTCCGATGTCCTCACCTCTGTCTTTTGATTTCAGTTGGTGGGTACGATTCATAGTAGGAGATGTTACAGGTTAAAGCGTTGTCAAACACTGAATACCTGTGGCATCTTCAGTATTTTTAAACTCTAAGCAGTTATTATTATTATTAACTTGTACAAGTTTTCTTGATTATTATTAACTTTATATTATTATGACCTTTATGTTTGTCGCTTTTCTTCAATCTGTCAATTGGACAATTATCAGAAGGGGTTTTGTGGAGATTTAGCATTTGAGAAGAATGAATGAAGAGTGTAAATTTTTAAAAACCGTATGTATGTGTCATTTTTTAATGTTCCAGTGAATTTTATAGAGTTGAGATCATGAGTCAATTGAAGCTAGACCACAATGGAAAACCTGGAAACACTGGACGGACGTTTCGTCCTATTATGGGAATCCTCACCAGTGTGCATTTACGATCCCGTCTCACAAGCGAAATTCGAACCCAGGACCTACCAGTCTCGAGCTAGAGCCCTTAACTGATAGACCACTGAGCTGGCCGATATCCAATGGTGCTAATGTCTAACTTCAAATGACCCGCGAAGTTGAGCTACCGTTCACCAATTGTCTTCAGTGAGTTGATATCTCACGACAGACGTGGTTTGAACTCCACTGGATCGTGGATGTGCACTGCTGAGAAGTTCCACAATAGGACGAAACGGCCGTCCAGTGTTTCCAGGTTTTCCATGGTGGTCTAGCTTCAATTGACTCATGCTTTCAACTATGAAAATTTGATAATTATCTGACCCATAAATTATCTTCATCCTTATATTTCTTCCTTACCCCTTGATTATTGCGTAACCTCATTCGATATTTAGTCCCGAATGAATTTACGATGTCATCTTTTCTATCATTCTATAGACATATATTTTCCATATAACCATAAATACCAATGTACAGCTTAAGTAAATGATTTCGTCGAAAAGAAAAAAATTTTCTTTCCTGAATTCTCGATATCAAATAAGTTGCAACTTACAGTGATACACTGATGATGATGAGAAAAATCGGTCTTATGATAGACTGTAATCGGTCACAGAGAAGCGCTCAGGAAAGGACCTGACCATCCTGATGGGAGACTTAAACACCAAACTCGGAATGGACAACACCGGATATGAAGATATCATGGACGACATGGACTGGGAGAAAGAAACGAAAATGGGAGGAGATTTGCAAACCTATGTGCATTCAACAAAGCTTTTATAGGCGGCACAATATTCACCCACAAATGCACACACAAACCTTCCATTAGATGTCACTTCACCAAAGATCGAACAAGTCATGATGGCCCTCAGACAAATCATTGACACAATTGGTCATTTTAATTAACAGTGTAGAACATTCATTGTGATTCACATCTTTTTTTCGAAGGATGCTTTTATGATTCTCGATCCGTGAGATCGCCATCCTATAAATACATTGTCGTGCTACTTTAGACAGCACCAGAGCAGCTACCTGAGTGTATAGAGCATTCTGTTCTTTGTGAATAGAGTACAGCATCATCTCTCCGTAATCTATCTTTTTCTGTACAGCTTGAGTTCAATGTGTTTCATTGATTCTGTGTACCATCATGTCATATCTGCTCATTTCCTTAGCTATTCGGTTGATCTTACCGTTCTCCCACATTGTCCGAACATTCCAATAAACCTATAGAAATTGTTGTTATGGTTTTATTCATAATTACTCATGATATCACTTGGTTTATATTTTACACCTCTATGACCTTTAATCACCTTTAATTATTGTAACAAAAACATTTTAATCATCTTACTACATTCATGTTATAATTCATTACTAACATATTAAGACTATTGTTATTGTTTGTATTACGTAATCTAGTACTATAGTCATTCTGTTACATCATCTTGGTTATTCATTGTTCATATGTCCTCATGGAACTAGTACTTTCATACATGTATACGATTGTACAGGTTGATAATAAATTCGTTGAAAAGAGATCCCTTCGCTGAGTGTCGTGTTTTCAATATTATACTTTGACCTTGTTTTCTCTACAATTTACTCTGTCTACGATATACTTTGAATAAAATTACTTCCTTAGTGGTTCAGTGAATAAAAGTTCGTAAATGTTTCATATTTACATGGGTACAAAAGTTTTGCCTTACAGCTTCGCATCCCTAACTCTTCAGTAAACTTACTGGTTAAGTTATTGTAGCCGGTGATGATTTTACTATTAAGCGCTTTATGGATATGGCAACGGTTTAGAAACGAACTATTTATTGTGAATATAATTGCATTCAGATAATAAATGAAGTTTTGTGGTGATAAGAAAACCGAAAACTAACAAATTTTCTAAAATCATGAAACTCTATCAGGTTTCAGTAATTCTGTTCATCAGTCAATAAATGACTTTGAAACTATCCGGTCATTTTCTGAAATCATTCGGCTCATTCATACGTTACACTTTGAACTACTTATCCACCTCCGTGTAACTATTAAATAACCATCTATCATAATTAGTATTTCTCAGTTCAGGTATCTCAAATGACCTTCCTTTTGTAAAGCCAATCAGAATAATGCATATTGTCAGATGACTATCTGTTTGAAAGTGAGCTATTTGTAGTGTAACATGCTGATTGGTTATCCAGTGAGTTCGAGCAAACATAATTGGTGTTATTGATTGACACTAGAACAAGGATTTATTTTCATTAAGTTGCTCTGGCGATCTATATTTCTGTAAGTCTAGGGAATATTTTGTTGTTCACTTCACTAGACTCTTAATTCCTCAACTAATGAATATTGAATAAGTTAATAAGATGAAATTGATCTCGATTGTTTATAGTGTTGTACGAACCACTGACTTCAATAATTACTTGGAGAATTATAAACATACATACACATTCAGTCAGTATGCAAAACCACTGTTCACTTTGCTTCAACTATTACTAGGTCTTGTAATTTAGATCCTAATAATTTAGCTGTTCCTAATAATCATTTATCTTTATCCACCGTTTCGAAAGGTAATGTTCATATTCAAAAATGACTTGATACATCCCCTGGTTCATTTCATGACATTATTGTGGATACAGGTAGTATAGAGTCCATTATTTCATTCAATAATTTGAAATCTTTAGATCGTAACGTTGTGTTAAGACCCACTGAGGTCCTCAACTAATGAATATTGAATAAGTTAATAAGATGAAATAGATCTCGATTGTTTATCATGGTGTAGGAACCGCTAATTGCAACAATTACTTAGAGAATTGAAATCATACATTTCTCGTGATTTCAGACTGCTTAGTTGAACTTGTTATTCAGCAATGGTTTCCGAATTCAATTTATTTGTTAACCACATCATTACGTCTGTACTGTAAAACTAGTTTCATCTAACTCAATGAGCGATCAGATTATTGAAAGTATGACTTATACATTTAGGATTTGTTAAACTAATTAGCATGCACTTTGTAATTGAGATTCTCGCTTATTTTGGTGGAAATCAAGAGTACACATAAGGATATGTAATGCCTAGTACTATATTAACCCCATATGGGTTGTTCTAGCTCTCGGACAGATTTTACTTTGTAAATTATTCTCCTATTAACCCTGACTATTTTCATATGAGCGTATGTGTGTTCATTGCTTACCCCATTGATTATATGTCTGTAGATTCTTTTTGTCTCACTAAAAGCATTGAGTCACACTTAATCAAATCGAGTTTTTTTCACTCACATCCTCACCGCTTCACTTCCCCACTTATTCTGAATGTCTATCTGGACAAAAAAGTGCGTGAAATAAACTCCTCCGACGCAACCCGTATTTGTCTTCGTATTACCGCCATCAGACGAACGGGTTTAGCCTAGGTAATATAAGTAGTTAAATGCAAGATTTATGTTTATGGCATATTCATACGTTCATCCAAATTGGAGTCAGATCAACAGGTCACAGATACATTAAGTTTATAGTTTACTAGGGATGATAGGTCCTACTTCTCATGTAATGTTTTGTAGAGATGTTAGTTGCTCCTTGACATTAGACCTTGTAAAATTTATGAAAGGAATAAAAGATTTTCCGTTGGAACTCAATACATACAGTTTATTAAATTTAGATTTTATTCATTTATTTATTTAAACACATAAATGTTGGTACAAGGGGGCACCAGATATGCGCCGCACAAATCTCATTTGATTTGTGTGAGGGCTATGATACTGCCCAGGTGCCCAGACTAAAGCAGGTAGTTTTATTAGGGGGCCACACCTTGAGCCTTTGACCTGAAGGTCTAGTCAACAATGCAGTCCCATGGTAGTCGGTGACCAACGATTGATTCATACGCCATTTCTCCCTTCAGGATACTGGAGCCCATGTGCACTATTGCTTTGGAATCAGGGTTTTCCAACTCCCCTAGGTGGACTCTTCGTGTCCACCAACCCGGTTAAAGCGCCGGACATTCGCTTTTCGTCCTCTCAATTTCGTAAACAACAGCAATGCCATGAGAAGGCAGTGAGTAGGACTTCCCTGACAGAGGCTATTGTTATAATGCGAAATATAGCGTATTGCGATAGGACTACGCGAAATTCTACCGATTGACCAAATTCAGATATCCTAGTTCGACCCCAATACTATTTCCCAACTCCAATAAATCAGAACACAGCCGTTAAATGAGAATTGTTTATGGGGTCAGCAGCAGAACAAAAATGGTTTAAAGACAAGGCATATTTATACAGTTACGATGAATATTAACAGTACCCAATGGAAAGAAAGGACACGTAAAGGTTATAATTAGGACGACTCAAAATTGACCAATAGGGAAACGACACATGAAAGTCATAGTCAGGACACTGTAAATAATGGCCAATAGGAAATAACATGCGAATTATGTGAAGAGTCTGGAAACATACCATTTTACATTCGAGATAATTTTTGGGATATTCTTGTGAATATCCTAACACCTCCCCTTGGAAAAAAATTAATAGCGACGCAATCGTGGGTTTACTTGAAAGTTTTTTGGTTTTCTGCGTTTGCGTCCCGACCTCCTTGGAGGTAACGACCGAGAACCGGAAGAATGTTCTGCCTGATTAGATGACTGAGTTGCCTCCGTTGTAGGTATTGGCGGAAGTTGGAAAGTATCCAGTAATAAATCGAGTGGGACGCGTTTCGTAACTTCAATTTTTTTCTTGGCTTCTCTTGGCCTTAGTTGATTATGGTGCCTGGTCCAGATTTCTCTGTTTACTCTGACCTCATACATGACCTTCCCCTGTCTCTTTGCGACTTCACCCTCTATCCATCTATCATACCCATGTCTATAGTCCCGCACATACACTTTTGCGCCAACTTCGTAAGGAATTCGGGTATTCTTCATGTGAGGACTCTGTTGGGCTACTCTCCTGGGTGTCATTGCATTATGAATTGTTCGTAGCTTCCGTCCCATAAGCACCTCCGCAGGGGATTTGAAGTTCGGCAATAAATCATGAGGAGTCGTCCGGTACACAATTAGAAATCGTTCTATAATATCGTGTGTTGTTCCCTCCCCTCTTGCCTTAAGCATGGCACGTTTGAATGTATCGACGAAGCGTTCAGCTTGACCATTAGATTGCGGATGGTAGGGCGGAGAACGGACATGATTGATCGAGTTTTGCATGCAAAATTCTCGAAACTGACTGGATGTGAACTGCGAACCATTGTCTGTTACTATTGTTTCTGGCAGACCATGCTGAGCGAAGATCTGGTTAAGGAGTTGGATGGTTCGAGTTGTAGAAGGTGGTGCAATCGGCAATATCTCCGGCCATTTGGAGAAGGAGTCGACCAGTATCAGATATATGGTACCATCTAGGGGTCCGGCAAAATCAATGTGCACTCGCGACCAGGGTTTTTCTGACTTGGGCCAGGGTACTGGTGGCAACTTAGGAGGATGTTTCGCAGCTGTCTGACAATGTGGACATGTTTTGACGAAGTCGACAATTTGCTTGTCCATGTTCGGCCAGTATGCGTAACTACGAGCGATAGATTTCATACGGTTTATCCCTGGATGACCAGCGTGAAATTGGCGTAGGACCTTGGCACGCAGGGTTGTTGGAATTACTACACGGTCACCAAACATCAGACAGTCATTGACAACACAAAGAGCGCTGCGACGATTCGCTAGGTGTAGCATCTCACCACTGAACTGCTTAACTGGCCATCGGCTCTGAACATAAGTGATTGCTTCTCGAATAATCGGGTCGTTTCTGGTAGCTTCTCGAACGTTTTCAGCCGTAACAGGCATAGCTCGCACGGCATTCGCCAATAGTGTTGCACCAGAATCATCTTCCGTTGCTATTGTGGCTATGAGTGTATCCTCATCAGTTGTAGAGTGCTTGCTGATAAGTCTGGACAATGCATCCGCTTGACCAAAATCTTCAGAACGTCGATACTGGATGTCGAAGTCGTAGCTCAGTAACGCCAACGCCCAACGTTGAAGACGATTAGCAGAATGAACAGGGATGCCTTTCTTTGATCCAAAAATTGACAACAGCGGCTTATGGTCTGTGAGCAAAGTGAAACGGCGCCCGTAAATGAATTTGTGGAAACGCCGGACAGCAAAAATCAGAGCTAAGGCTTCTTTCTCGATTTGACCATAACGTTTTTCAGCGGCTGTTAGTGTTCTCGAAGCATGCATCACTGCTTTCTCTGAACCATCGGGAAAAACATGCAGTAGTACGGCACCCAGTCCATGGGTTGAAGCGTCAGCAGCAACTACAATTGGTAGTTTCGGATTGTAGTGGGTTAACAGTAGTTTGGAGCTTAACATGGCTTTAAGTTTTGAAAAAGCTGATTCACATTGCGTGGACCAATTCCAAGTAGCATTCTTTTCTAGCAGATGATTTAATGGATATCGTACCTCATGTAGTGATGGTAGAAATGCTGAATAGTAGCTAACCATTCCCAAAAATGATCGCAGTGAAGAGACATCAGTGGGAGCAGGCATTTGCTGGATTGCGTGAGTATTTTGAGGATCAGGATGTCGTCCAGAAGCATCAAAGATAAACCCCAGGTATTTAACGGAGCGTAGAAAGAATTGGCATTTCTCTGAACGAAGGCGAAAACCATTATCTTGGAGGCGTTGTAGAACTAAATATGTTCTGGAATGCAGTTCATCAGCAGTTGAGCCGACAATGAGGACGTCGTCAAGATACGTAGCAACACCAGGAACATCTGCCAGAATAGTATCCATAATCTGCTGGAATATCGCTGGAGCAGTCTTGATACCAAAGGGTAATCGGGTATACTGGAAAAGACCTCGGTGAGTGTTGATTGTCAGCAATTCTCTCGATTCGCGAGCGACAGGAATTTGAAGGTAAGCATCCGCGAGATCTAGCTTAGCGAAGTAGGTACCACCATTTAAAATAGTAAACAAATCATCTGGGATCGGCAGCGGATAATGATGCTGTTGCAGCGCCGCGTTGAGTCCTGTAGAGAAGTCTGCACAGATGCGTATGGAACCATTAGACTTTTTGACAACCACAATTGGTGCAGCCCATGAAGAATAAGAAACAGGTACAAGGACACCTTCAGTTTCCAACCGTTGCAGTTCAGCGTCGACCAGAGGTAGGGATGCATATGGGACTGGACGTTTTGGACGGAAAACTGGCGTAGCTTCTGGCTGAAGTTTCAAAACAGCTTCAGTTGTGGAACAAAGACCAAGACCAGGCTGAAAGAGTTCAATGAATCGTTTTTGGAGGTCTGCAGCATGCTGTTGTGTAGTAGCAAGAGTTTTTACTTGATTACAGATAGTGCTGATAGGTAGATTGGCAAGACCAAGTTCTTCGAACCAATCTAAACCCAGAAGATTGAGAGGGGATTTGGTGATGTAGCACGTACCATTGAAGGTTGTACCTCTGAACGAAATACAGCAGTTAAGTTCACCATGAAGTCGGAGATGACCACCACATGCACTAACGGCTGTCTGCGAAGACGGTTTGATGGGAGGTTGACCCAAGGTTCGCCAAGTATCTTTCGACAGGATAGTGATATCTGATGCAGTGTCCAACTGCAATCGAACTGGTTGACCATTGATTGAGAGGGTTAGAAATTTGCGTCGCGTGGCGGCATGAGTGTGAAAGACTGCTGCTAAACTCCTTGATGAGGGAAGCTGCTTTTTAGTATAACGACGTTGCGTCTGTGCATTTCGACGCCTATTGGGTCGATGAGATTGACAAAAACCGCTTTTGTGACCAACTTTATGACAGCGATCGCACACCTGCTGTTTGAATGGACAAACTTTCACATAATGCCAGGCTCCACAGTGCCAACATGGAGAAGGGGGCTTCTTGTGAACCGGTACTCTGTGGGCGATTGGTGCGACCATTTCATGGGCTTTTAACATAGCATCGTATTGATGAGAGCTGAAAGCGGCATTGTTAGGACCTGCTAATTCAGGGATAGTGGGGTTTGAATCCACTACCGGGTATGTTTCTGAAACGGATAGTGCTGGACAACCGGGCGTCTCTTGAGAGTCTGCTGTTTCGTTTGAGTTGCGGCTGGTCGAGGATTCATGGAGGCTGTGATCATTTGCCAGCTCTGTGTGCAATTCAGAGATTAATACATCCACTTCCGACGCATATGCGAAGCATTGATGATCCAGAAACTGTGAGCGTAGTTTGACCATGAACTCCAAATGTTGGTCAAATAGCAACTGTAAGCGGTCAGAAGGGAGCGTCATTTTTCACTTTTGTCCCCGTCGCCAATTGTTATAATGCGAAATATAGCGTATTGCGATAGGACTACGCGAAATTCTACCGATTGACCAAATTCAGATATCCTAGTTCGACCCCAATACTATTTCCCAACTCCAATAAATCAGAACACAGCCGTTAAATGAGAATTGTTTATGGGGTCAGCAGCAGAACAAAAATGGTTTAAAGACAAGGCATATTTATACAGTTACGATGAATATTAACAGTACCCAATGGAAAGAAAGGACACGTAAAGGTTATAATTAGGACGACTCAAAATTGACCAATAGGGAAACGACACATGAAAGTCATAGTCAGGACACTGTAAATAATGGCCAATAGGAAATAACATGCGAATTATGTGAAGAGTCTGGAAACATACCATTTTACATTCGAGATAATTTTTGGGATATTCTTGTGAATATCCTAACAGCTATATATTCGCGTGGCCATGTGAGAGCATTTGGAGAGGGAGAGCGGATTCTCCCGACTCTCGGCCATACCAGGGCATTTGGAGGCCTAATTGAGGACTGCGTGCGAAAGTGGTAAGGGACAACAGATCAGTGCTGTTTTATTGTTCGTCTATTCAAATAAATGTCAAATCAGTTTAGTGTTGTGATATGGACCATTTTGTTTTATTCGATTGATTTCTTTAAATTTGTTTATCTTTTTTTTTCAAGATGTTACACAATGATACCAACCAAAGAAATCAATACTCATGAAGCTCAAAGTGGGTGTAGCCATCAACTTGAGATTTGTGCAAATAATGATTCAAAGGTAAGATTTTTCGGCACCCTGTTATAATATTTCTGATTATCTCTTCACATTATTTAACTTTGTAAAATTGAAGACAGTGTTTTTGAGGGAGGTAATTGCTTTTCACTAAGTCTGTATCAAGTTTTACAATTTTGAATGTAAATTCCTAATGAGGATGGTCAGTCACATCCAAGGAAAATACATTTTTCAGTATGGGTTTGTGGAGATTATTATGTTTTTGATTGAGATCATGAAGCGATTGATGTTAGACCACCATTGAAAGCCTGGAAGCACTGGATGGCCATTTCGTCCTTATGTGGGACTCCTCAGCAGTGTTCATCCACGATTCGGTCTCGTTAATGTCCTAACTAGCGTTCTCACATTGCATTTCAACACTGTAGTCAGATCGATCTCATCGCGATCAGCTACCGTTGACATGGTTGTTTACAAGTTTTCTGCTCCTTTTAAAGTAGTGGTCAACATTTTCATCGCCTTGGACTATCCGATGTCAGTAAATGAGTTGCTGCTTCCGTCACAATTAAATATCAAATCGAGCTAGGTTCAAGGCTAGCTATCATTCCACAATAAAGCATCAATGAGCATTGGTTGTAATTGCATGACGCCATGAGACCAATTCATGCATAATGATAGCATATGCCAATCTGGGTCATTTTTGGTGCCTTCGTGATGATAGTTTAGCTATAAAAGTTAAGATTTATGATCCGTCGGTGAGAGCGGTTTTTGCTCCATGTGTGTGAAACCTCCTCTCTCTGATATGATACATATATTTTTATTGTATAATTGTTAAATAACTAAACTATTCATATTCATGTCCCTCTTATTAACAACTTTGACTTATGAACTATTGTTATACGATTTATCATTCTTAAATTATGCCCTGTCTATCAATTAATATCTCCCTTATTCACAACCACATTAAGTTATATCTCGTACAAATATTGTTTTCTATTGTATGGTGTGATATGGTCTTTCTGATTGGTATATAAACCCACTATACTTGTAATACACGATTCATATGGTAGAGGCTGAGATTGGCATTCTGAACTTAAGTGGTTGAGCTAGGCAGAAAACAGGAACGATGAGTCCTTTAGACTGCTCTTCCGGATTTTATGTGTCAATGGTTCGATCGATAAAACACTGCTCTCTAATTGGCGGTATTATCACGTTTGAACATTGAGAGAGCATACAGGCTACAAGTTTGGTCGTGTAGCTTTCATCATCCTTCTGGACGACATTATCAACACAAACCTGAGAAGAACAATGAAAGCTTCACGACCAGTTCATCTAGCTAAGAAAACAAAACTTCATCAAAATCATCGACTTGAGCTACAAATCTTCTCCACCATCTTCTTTCTTATTGAAATTTCATACAATTTAACAAATGTAGTCTATATTGGTTATTTATTATCTATTGAATTTCAGTTGAATGATGTAATGCACAGTGAAAAATACAATATGAAAGATGATTTCAATAGAACACCAAATGAAGATGCATTAGAAACTAATCTATCATTTATAGATGATATTGCTAATGAATTAGATAAATTGGCATTAATACCATTTTATTTTTGTCTTGATATTGATGATGAAATTTATCATAGTGAATATGATTACAATTTAGATAACTGATGATGTAATAGATGTATAAAAAACAATTTAATAAAATTATCATTATCAGAAGGGGTTTTTTGTGTGTGGAGATTTCAGTATTTTCATAGTTGAAAGCATGAGTCAATTGAAGCTAGATCATGAAGGAAAACCTGGAAACACTGGACGGCCGTTTAGTTCTATTATGGGGCTCCTGAGCAGTGCGCATCCACGATCTCGCCTCGTGAAATTCGAACCCAGGACCTACCAGTCTCACGCGAGAAGCAGTGACCAGTGGAGTTCAAACCACGTCTGTTGTGAGATAGGAACTCACTGAAGACAATTGGTGAACGGTTGCTCATCTTCGTGAATTGGTTGAAGTTAGACATTAACACCATTGGATGCCGGCCAGCTCAGTGGTCTATTGGTTAAGTGCTCAGGCGCGAGACTGGTAGGTCCTAGGTTCGAATTTCGCTCGTGAGGCGGGATCGTTGGTGCGTTCTGCTGAGGAGTCTCGCAATAGGACAAAATGACTGTTCAGTGCTTCCAGGTTTTCCTTGATGGTCTAGCTTCAGTTGACTCATGCTTTCAACTATGAGAATTATCATTATCATTTTTTTCTTGCTTTCATGATATTTATGATCAAATTGAAGAATTTATCGAAGACTTTTAATGTAAAGTAAATGAACATGGATGATCTGATGGAGTATTGTTCCTATTGTTAGACTTTTGACTGTAAATAACACTTAAACCGAGAAAGTTTAATCAGCAATATGATCTAATGTTGGCTGCTATCCAATGATCCACTAATGAATATAAGTAATATTGTAAGAATGTAGTTTCAACCCTGTTATAACTAAGGGTGCATGCCAGTCGAAACTCGTCTATAATACATCTTCAAATCAATACTTTTTTATTCCCTATAGTACTTCACTCTTAATAATCATTCAAAATAACCATGAACATACATGACCGCGTTCACTGGAATCTCATCACTGCGTAGGGTCAGTGAAATGTCACTAAGCCCTAGCCAAATCATCCGGTATTTGGGTCACTGAATATCGATCCCTATCAAATTCAAAGACAACCAACACGCATCAGTTAATCGTATGCCATGGACTGGCCAGTGCGGTGGTGGTCTTACTATCTTCTCTTTACTCATTCTTACTTATATATTTCCTTAACAGCGTCCTTTGTGTTGTACAGTCTTCAAAGCATCTATAGTACGTTGATACGACGAAGGGGTAATCCACATTAGATGCTGACCGCAAGGTGTGATTTCAAAGTTAACTGTCAGTCAAATCATTCCCGTCTAACTCGAATAGGCCTCCAATCATTCGAAATAGATCATAAACGCTGACGATCTACAGCTGTAAATTTATTCTTGTTATGTAGGAGGAAAGTTATATAAATTGTGTATGTGCAATTAATGGCGAAATACTTAGTCCTGAGGGTTGAAACCCTATAAGACACATAAATTAATAAGAATCCATTCAGAAGGGGATTTGTGGAAATTTCAGTATTTTTTAAAGTTGAAATCATGAGTCAATTGAATCTAGACCACCATCGAAAACCTGGAAGCACTGGACGGCTGTTTAGTCCTATTGTGGGACTCTTCAGCAGTGCGCATCCACGATTCGATGGTGGTCTAGCTTCAATTGACTGATGATTTCAACTTTGAAGAATCCATTCGTTTCTCCTTCATTCAGAGTAAACCCTGAAGTGGATTATGTCATTAATAACTGATTTAAAAATTTTTTTAAACGCTTCAGGAATTTCATTTCAAGGAGTTTGCTTACAAATGTTGTAAAATCTATGATAGTACATTTATACTAGTGATTATCCGCATATAAAGCACTTCAACATATTTTGATCTTTTAGATTGAGTGGACTAACTGATGTGATAGTACTATTTAAAGTTGAAAAGCAATTTTCTGCTAAACCACCAGACTGAGAATTTCATGAAGGTGTAAATAGATGACGGTATTCAATATCATCAAGCTAGTTGATAAAATCTTTTTCATTGAAATGAATATCCCTTCATGACTGAATATGCTCCTCAATACTCAATGAGTAAAGTTTCCGCTAAAACTGTTCATGATTACCACTTTTGATCATTGCTAATTTGAGTTAATAGTAACTAAATCATGATATGAATTTAAAAATGAGCCACAGTAATACTCATGAATACGTTTTCACTATTCGTAAGATGCAAGCCAAGGATTCCAAGTAGTCTTGTTGTAAAATAACTTGTGCAAAACAAGCAGGACAGTCTTTCAATTTTCAACTTACATCAGCTTTAATCTTAGGCCACCAATAAGTCTGTCGAACAAATGATTTCATTTTCTCTGTTCGCAGATGGGCTAAGTGTATGTCTAATACTGAAGATCTAGGTGTAGGGGAAATGATTACTCTACCATTAAAACACAAAAATCCTTCAGGATGTAGTAATATTTGTTCTCTCCTTTTATAAAATTCAGGAAACATACGCTTAGAATAAACATTCCAAATTCTTTTCACCGCATTTATAATACTTTCAAAAACAATTACGAATACACTTTACAAATTTTGTTCTATTAACGGTTAACGGTTGGAGTAACATACAATCATTTTCGTTAGGTGGTCTTTCAAAATATGAGTACCGTGTTACAAAATCTGCATGTGATATGCGTTTAACCACACGATGCTTAATGATGAAATGATAAACATACTAATCATACTAAATTTCATCTCTGGATATTGACAGCAGATGATCGATGAAGAGATTTAGTAGTTGGGTATCAAATAAAATTCAACACCTAGTGATCACAAAACAAGTATTTATGCAGTCGTTTCACTGCCCATATCACAGCTAAAACCTCCTTTTGTGTATGAGGATTTCCTTGTTCACTCTCGTTTAACCGACTCGAAATAAAGATAACAGGTTTCTTATTCTGTTGTAGAACCGCAAATAACCATAATGGAGACCAATCTGTGTTGAGGATAGATTTTTCAGCTGACTGAAACGTTTTGAGGAGAGCCTCACTATTTAAGAGGTGTAGACGTTTTCTTAGTACATCATTGTATCGATCCCATGCAAACTGTTTACTTGGAACCAAGTCGAAAGTGGAGATAATATTTATGTAGAGTTAGAAATGAACCTGGAATAAGACTGAACAACCTCAATTCAAGATTTGAATGCTGAGATGTTCTCAGGTGATGATGCTTGAATCAATGGGGCTAGGCGACTCATATCAGGTTTAAAACTTTTAGCATCTACACAATAGTTTAAGTAACTGACAGAATTGAGTTGTAACTGACACTTGGATGGATTTGTGGTCACATTTGCATCACAAAAATGTCTAAATAACTTTCGAAGATGTTCATTATGCCATTCGATATTTTTAGAATGAACTACGGTATAAGCCTGATAG